TTCATCTTTATTCGCATCATTCTGATCCTTATATCTAAACTGAAAGCCCATCAGATGAGATATACTGACTATAAATTCAGGTATGTAGATAACAACAAAGTAATGAACACTGACAATGACAAAAGATACGGTTTTTCTCGATCGCCGCAATTCTCACAGCAGAAAAAGTCATTCTGGCATTTTTCATAACATGTTGTCACATGCACCTGTGACACAGACTGACAGTATGTATTTCTATGTGTTCCAAGTAAACCTGTGAGAGTGTGTAAACTTCTGACAGTATAAATATTTGAACAAAACTTGAAGTAACTTGACTGGAAATACTAATACAGTATCCAGAGAAGTGAGAGCTCCAGAGAGAGAGTGTGCTGATGAGTTTTTTAGATTCAAGTTAGAAGTGCCTCAACACAGTAACAAATATCTTTAGTAGTGAAGTATGTGTAGTAACCATAGCATTGTGTGTAAAAACGCCTGGAATGTCTAATGTGGGTGAGGGAAAGCGTTACTGATTTGAGAACTGCATTATGTATAGTGAGAATTTTTTATTAGCACTAAGATGAGTGAAGGTGCTTTCATCTCCTTGTTGTCTTGACATAATTATCTAATGTTTGACCTAATTTGCTCACCTATCTTTAATTTAGTTTAATTTTAGTTTTTTTTCCTTTCGTTTTTGCTTAGCAACTACAAAAATCAGGTGAAAATAAAACATGAATTAACTAATTGATAGACTTTTTTGTAAGAATCTTGTGTGTAAGTGTAAAGATCAAAACTCACACATATACAGACAGTAATTAAGAGAAGACAAGTGAGGGAACTCTGTTACATCGCTTGACATAACCTTTGCCTACAAAAGCATATCACTGCTTCAGTGAGTTTAATAACAGTTCAATAAGTAAACACCAGGGAACATTTGATTCTCATGTTTCTCTCCAGACTGGCCAAATCCACATTGACCCTGATCCCTCTGCTGGGGATCCATGAAGTTGTGTTTGCGGCGTTGACGAATGTGCAAACAGATGGAGTCTTTCACAATATCAACCTCTTCTTCCAGCTCTTCTTGAACTCTTTTCAGGTATAATCAAGAATCTGCACCTAGATAATATTTACCATCATAATAATTTGCAGATAAAAGTAGCAAAACACTACTAAATGACCTCTAATACAAACTCTTTACAGGGTTTACTTGTAGCCGTCCTGTACTGTTTTGTCAACAAGGAGGTATGTAGCATGTGATGTGGTGGACAAAACAAACTTCTCATAATATTAATCATTACATTTTTGAATGAAGCCTCAGTTTAAGGTTAGAGCGGGGCTTGTTTAAGGTCAGCGTACAGGTTATAGTTAGCTGAATTGAATGGACAGCCGAGAAATTCATGTAAGTCAATGTAATGCCCATCTGGAGTGAAAAGGGACTAGGTGACACTAGAAAAGGTGCAGGCCCTCTTGGTCTTGATGTCGTTCATATGTTCTACAGTTTAAGAATCAAGACATGCATCTCTTGTAAATGTTTTTCATGTTCAGCAGAGGATGTGTTACTCATTTTTTGCAGATTTTAGCTTTTGCATTTGAGATATTTCCCTTACTTGCAAACACTCTTTGCAGTGTTTAGCCTCTTCATTTTCTTAGTCGTTAACCCAGTCTCTAAGTCAAGTTTCCAAATTCAGTTCTCGTTATTATCCTATTTCAAGCTTCTTTTCCTCCCCTTTCTTACAGGTGCAAGCAGAAATAAAGGCTACATGGCAGAGGCTGAAGCTGTGGTTGACTTACCTAGATGAACTGAGAAATAGTGACAGTAACACACTGCAGGTGGGTGTCAATACAGTGTACATAGGAAGCCACCTCATTTAGCTAATCAGCATCATATTTAATCGTTATTTCCCCTCTTCTCACCGCCATCTTGCTTTAGTTGGTTGTGCTTTTTGTGGCTTTTATTGTTGCTCTTAGGTTTGTTTAAATAGGATCATGCATGTCACTTGCCTCTGCAGTGAGTGGAGTCAGGGGTCCCCTTAGGGAAATAAGGTCTCTCCTACTGTCACTGAAAGCTTTCTATATTGCCACTGCCTCAATTTAAAGTTTGCCAGCCCTCAGATAAAGGATAAATTTTGACCTGGGTCCAGTGGCAACCAGTGCCAATAACATGCTGTAAATGTAATAATAATAATAATAATGTAAAAAAAAACTTATTTTACAGTGGTTTTTGCTGTGTTATTTATATAATTTGTGCATTAAAGAGAAACTGAAAACTTGCATAAAGGCTAATAAAACAGGCAGAGCAAAAAACATATGATTTATATAGGAATTTCTGTTTTGTAAGAGAAGGTAGCTAGTTATCCTTTGATTAGGGGCACTGTGCTGGTAAGTTTCTAGAAATTTTAATAAAACTGATGTTTCTTCAAATGTGATTATCAGCTAATATTTGAAAATAATACGTGCTGTAATATAAATATTAGCCTAGTCCTTTCCCAAGGCCACACATTTTGATTATGTGCCCATTTGTAAGCTATTAATCAGCACGATGCTTGTTCACTGACTCAGTGAAATAAAATTAATTAAAATGGTTTCTTCCTTTTTGTGCTTATAGTTGTGTTTACATTTTTATGCAGACTCCTGTCAGCATGCCTCCATCTTCCCAGTGTCACCATCTGTCTCTTTACAAGCTACCTGACGGCTGCCCAGAGGTCAGCCACCTCTCTCCTATGCCCCACACCTCTCTTTCACCAGCTCCTCACCCTCAGGTTCCCACTACTGACTGCTACGCCTACCACCAAGACAAGATGGGAGACAAATAGGTGAAAACTTCCTGGCATGTCGCTGCTCATACTAAGGATAGAGGAGAGGATGATGAGAAATTACATGAAATGTATTGCTAAAAAATTCAAAATGGTCTTAATATTTCTTAAATAATTTGAAACTTTAAGTAATTAGCATGTCCAATCAAGACACTCTTTGACTAAGGTCAAGATTTCACAGCACAAATGGCTTTCACAATCAGAGGGTTATATTATGTTATCCTCTGTAGGTGGATCTGTATTTAGGCATCAGGCATTTTTTTGACTGCTCTGTATTTCTTCAAGGCAACAGAGTGAATCTCAAGTATGACTCCCTTCTCTGAGCACTTGATTAAACATAAAATAAAACAGTGACATTGTCACTTTGTGGACAATTAAAGGGTCATATCCTGCAGCATAAAAAAGCAGTTCTCATTTTATTCACACAGAGGAAATAACTATTTTATTTCTTTTGCTATTCAAGCGGATGTGAATTTTTTTCAATTAACAATATTATCTATCTTACTGTGCACGGTTGGATCTTAACTCTCCATGCAGCCATCCAAGGTACTTTTGCAAGTTATTATAATAGCTCATTCAATTCCCCACAGAACATATTTAGACATTCATTTCCACTTTTATAATGCAACTGATAAATGAGAGCAATTAAGCAAAAAATGAATACTCAGAACAAGACTAATTGCATAAAAATATTACACTGGTAATGAAGGTAAAACTTGTTTGCAGTCATTTATTTAAAAAAGCAATGTGATGTGTTGGTCTTATTTGAACCACTTTGACTGTGTTAAATCCCTCTTTCAAAAAATAATCTGTCACTGTAAATGTGTGTAAAACTAACTTAAAATTGTAACAATCCAGATGAACAATCCAGTAAGGTTTTACTGGCACTGCCACCATCTAGTGACAGAAACAGAAAACACACTGTAAAAGGGAGAATTTCACACTCCTATGAAATCATGCAGGTTTAATGAACTGCTTATTTTGCTGGCAGTTCTACTGTTGAGTAATGTCTCAACTCTACATCATATACATAATTTGCTACAGGTTTTATTGAACAAAGTTATAGCATAGATTCTCTATTAGCATTATGTTCATTTCCATAGGGGAAAAAACAAAACAAAAACTACTTATGTTCTCTTTTTAAATACTAGTAAAGCAAATGTGGGAAAAAATGTTAGCTCCCCTTCCAAAAAAGGGGAGTAGGTGAGGTAATGTACATTTAAATTGTCGTTGTCTAAAAGTCAGATTTTGAAAGGTTAGTTAAATGTGACATTTGGCCTAAATATATACTTTTTGTTTTAGTCCAACTACTGCTGTGTTTTATGATATAAGATGTAACAGTGTTCGTGACTTTTCTTATCGATTTACTTTTAATAATATAGTGTTACTAGATATACTGTTTATATTCAAATGTCACAAACATACAGTGATTGTAACTGAAATAACATGAATAATAAAAAGACTAGTTGTAGAGTCTTGAGTGATGTGCTTATTGGACCAAGGAAGCGCGTGCTTTGACAGAGGAGTGAAAGGACGACCATTTTCAAAAAGAAGTGATGGTTAACGACACCAGCTGTCAGCCACTTACAATGCAATCTTCAGAACCCTACCAAGGGGATTAAAACCCCACTATAATTTTGACTTCTGAGACTCACATGACGAGGAAATGTCACCCAAAGGGTGGCTCCTCTGACATAATGACCCACGCCTTGTGTCACACTTTGCCTCATGTGACAACACATGTGAGCTCAGAGTGGGTCAACAACAGTCAGGACCACCACCAAGGGGAAAACAAACTAGTTAAATACCTGGGGCTCTCTATCAGTTCTTTTAGACAAAGACACTTGAAATGAAGTGGGATTTGGGGCATCCTTCAATAAAGTGTAGCGACTTTAATCTCTGGGACAAAGGTAGGAGGAGACAAGCAGGCACATATTTACACATAAATATATAAGAAATGCCTTTTAGATCAAATCACTACATGGTGTTCTCGGTGTAATGGAAAATGAGAGTGAACTTCCAAGAACCAAAACTGCAATTCAGAAAACAGGGTGTGTTCTGTGTTGACTCATTTGTTTTGTTTCAGCCTGCCTTTCAGTGCCGTCAGTGATAATTATATCCAACTCCTTCTCATGAGATGCACTTCAGTGGTTGAATAATCTGGTTTTTTTTTTAATAAATATATGGATTCATAAAAACTACACAAACAGGAACCCAAACTGAAGTTACTTTAATTATATGTACATTACCACAAACCACACTGTCCCACTATTTATCCGTATTTGTTGAAAGTTCACAGCAGATGGACTAACCCACAGTCACATTTCACATATTTTTTTCTGGATTAGAGACAAAACTGGAAAGAACAAAATTTTGTAGCGTTTTGTTTTCAACAGTTTAAGCTCCATTATTCTTTCATTTATTTATTTATTTGGCACAGACGCAGAGATGGGATATCCGCAGTCAGTCAGGCCTCACAGCTTTGCCTCTGTATCTATCAGTGGTGTATACAAGTAAGCAGCATCGTCCTCCTCATAGATGATGGTGACCGTCTCACCAGCATCAGACACTGCTCCGTTGGTCTGCATGTACGCCTGAGAAACAAAGAGACAAAAAATTATTTCAGTTAAATGAAAACTTAAATGACTTCAAGTGATATATTGGAAGACAGCTACAGCTGCCAGTCTGAACTTCATTCCAATAAATACCCTCTCCAGTAACTGCAGTCGCTCTTCATTCAGCAGATTGCTTTGTCTCAGCTGGCTGACCGTGTTCTCCAGTCCAACGAGTTTTTCCAGGTGTCTTCGGTGCCGCTGCTGCAGCACTTTGACCTTTTTCTGTAGCTCACACACAATTCCCTCCAGCTGCTCCTTACTCAAACTGTTCTTGTGGTAGCTGATGATGTAATAAAAATAGAGAGTCTAAAAACCATAATACTGCAAAGGGATATAAGAAAGACTCTTTCATTGAATGAAAAAAAAGAAATTTAAATTAAGCATCAGAACTCACCAGTGCTCCTCGAGCTGGTAATCTTGCTCTGTATCGTCGTCCTCCGACTTGCCTTCATCTCCCTCTCCTCCTTCAGAATCCAGTCTTTCCAAAGTGAGGACCAGGGATGTGGGGGGAGGTGCTGCGTGTTTGGACACTATAGGCAGAGTGGATGTGATGGGTGTGGAGCTCAGAGCCGATGATAGTACCGTTTCTGGTGAAAAGGTAAACTGGGTAAAGGTGTCTTTGGGTAAAACATTCGGTATCGTCTCGAAGTAGGCAATGACTTGAGTTTCATGGTTGCCGTCGTCGCCATCTGAGAACAACTCTGTGGTATGCGTCACATCTTCAACTCCACTTAAAGCCACAGCCTCATCTGTGCACTCAAGGGTGGAGTCATTCACTACCAGCCTGTGTCCCCGAGTTAAAATGGCCGCAGTTATTTCATTCATAAGCTCATCTTGCCCTTCCCCAGCAGGACATTCAGACATAAGTACAACCTCTGTCTTCTCCCCACTGTTACTTAGATGATCTATTGTGTGTAAAACAGTTAAAGGGAAGTTTACCCCCGTTTCTAATCTGTCTACTGTTGCCAGTGAGTCTAGTTCTGGCTCAAAAGAGCAGTCAGATTCTCCAACATCACTCAGTTGCACCAAGCTGGTTTCTTCTTGTTGCGATGGATCGACAGCAATCTGATACAGGTGCACAGTGTGCACTTTGTTTTGCATGTCTGCTGTGTCAAAAACCATGGTCTTGTCATCTGATACCGATACGCTTGGATTACAGATAGTTCGAAGACGCTTTGTTTTCTTCTCGCCATCGTCTGTGGCTTTCCGTTTCTAAAAAGATAAATCAAAAAGCATAAAACAAGGTTTTATCTTAACTCTCCATGTTAAGATAGAAGCTATAAAATAATGTATTTGTTATTGTATATTCTGGTACGCAACAAAAACTTCTGTATTAGCATTCTGTATGATTCTGGTTAGTTTTGTTCAAGAAAAAACTAATGCTGTGTGACTCTAGCATAGAATCTCCACAATTACAATAACACTATTACTACTTAAAATACTGCAAGAGTTGCTCTCGAGCCTTATGAACTAAGGTAAACTGCTTAAACTAAAATCCAGGTAGGAGAATGAAACTTTCCTGTGTTTTAAAACAAGACCTCAGCATTCAGTAAAATAATTGGCGCTACTTTGCAACACTAAAAATCAAGTTTAGTTTCTTTTTGCTTTACCTCAGCCTCCTGAAACACAGTGGGCACAGCGTCTCTCTCAAGGTAACGGATCCCCCATCGCACTTTGAAGCATGAAGGTGCAAAATGTTCGTGGCAAATATACTGGTGCCGAGAGGGAGCCCAGTTCTCACGTCCCATGTTTCTCAGCCACTGCTGCAGCCTGACTGGGTCCTGAAGAGGGAACCTAGAAAACAATGAAAATTACACACGTAAAACACTGATCACGCTTCCTTCAAGTGAAATTGTTCATATTAATGTGCAACTAGAAAATAGCTTCCTAAAACTCAGTTTACATTGTGTGTGTGTCAGTGATTGGACAGTGCAAATCAGTGCATCTGATATGATCTGATCAGGTAACTGACTGACTCTGTGGACTCATCACATTTTGGCTTGCTCTGACCAACTACATCTTGCAGCAGCTTGCAGCTAGTGTAACTGTGTTCATATTTACTTTTGTTCTGAACCTGTGAACCTGTTGTAAAGTTGGGAAATCTGTGAAGTTGTTGCATGTTCTTTTAGACATTAACTGATACTGAAATTACACAGCCAAAAACAACAACAACAACAAAAAAAATAATAAATCCCCCAAAACAGCCAAGGTGTTAGGCAATATTCTTGAGGTACTCTTATTATTGCTGAAAAGTTTATTTTATTCGTAGGATGTTTCATCTTTTGAATCTTTACTTGCATGCTATAGCGACTTACACAATCTAGCGGTGGGCAGATTGATACTTTAACAGACATGCCAGCACATGTTGCCCCTCCCCCCTCCTGCTGCCATGTTTTGTTATTGTAAAGTCACGTGACCCAGACTGAGTAGACACGTGTAGGCTGTAGTGAGTGAGGCAGAGGAGCATCCTGTGGAGGTATTTTATGGCTGTAACTAAATATACTGCAAATATCCGTGTAGGAATTAATAAAGACCCAGACGAACATCATCATGGTGTGGTAAAAGTGATGTTTCAGTATCTTTGTGTCAGATATTTTTCAAAGTTTTCTTGGTCATCACAGATGTTACCAGAAGACTGATTACCATGGCAATGATATATATGAAATACTTTATTGGAACTTAACAAATGAAGTATGAACTAACTACGATAATAACGTAGTAATACCGTTTGTGTCAACTGTCAAGGCATTATTCACATATACAGCACAGTAGAAACCAACACAAAGTGCTTTCCAAGCAGGCACATTCAAACTCTCCAGAATAAAATAAAATAAAATGTTTCAAAACAGGTGAACCATTTTGAGATGTGTGTTTTTAGTCTAAAGGGCTTCTTTTCTTTTAGTCTGGACTTCTTCTCATCCGAGAAGCTTCTTCGGTTCTGAACTGAAGCAACTCAAAGAAGTCCGGACTTTTTTCTTTCCAAGCTCCTTTAGACTACGATGACCTGGATGACTGAGAACCTTCACAGACGTGTGTTTTAACTTAACTACTTAATTAATTAAAAATATAAGGTGTAAAAAAATAAAATAAAATTAGCTGTCAAAGTATTCAGATTAAGCATATTGATCCACTGCTGTCCTCTACATAAGCTGCCTTTATAAGTTAAAAGTATCGTTGATACTGGCTGCAATATCGTACAATGGTTCTGCAGCTCTAGGAGTGCATCAGCTTAAAGATAAGGATGACACATCACTATTTCTGCCTGCTCTTCTGCACAACTTGTCAATATAACTTACTCACCAGAATACCTTAGAGCTACAAATCAGACAGCGTTGATATAAACAAAAATGTCTTGATTAAAAGTTTGCTTTAATCGAGACTTCACCGTGTTGACGGCCTGGCTTAAATCAAGTCAAGTGCTGTGTTGATTAAATGAAGGCTTCTTCAAAGTCAGAAGTAGAAGACACAAACTTATCAAACGTATAAAAAGCGTCTCCTGTGCGGAGATTTTCTAACCTCGGTTGTTATTTTCCGTCAGTAAAAACGAGATTGTGAGACTAACCCGTCGAACAGGAAAAAGTTGGAAGTTGGATTGCGCCTCTACCTGTCTCATCTGAGCATCGCGTTTAGCTGGCCTGCTAACACCGTTTTAAAACACCTGCTCACCTGTAGAAGCTTTTCCTGTCGCTCGCGGAGTCATTCTTGCAGTTTGGGACCGAACAATATTTTGGCATCTCGGAGCGCTACGGTAACTTCTGCTGCTGTCTTCGTGTCCCGCTGAGTTCATAACAAGGTGAAACAGGTCTGTGAAACTCGTGCTGTGTTGTAAACTCGTGGCGCCTTAGGTGACGAAGGAGGATCAGCTGTTGGAGTCTGCGACGTCAAACGAGCGCGACCGCCACGCCCACAGGGAGCAGGCAGCTTTGCTTGAGTCGCCGCGGATGAGTTGGCAAACTGTTTGACTTTTTCTAGATGTATACATTTTAAACGTTGTTTCAGGAAATAAGCTGTTTCGTTGTTTTATGGGACTCTTTCGTTAGTAAACCCAAAAGTGATAGAATTACATAAATATACAGTACTGTGAAAAACGACGTCGTTTCTTTATATTTTGCTGGGAAAATGGGTTCAGGCTGTTATTCTTCAACACAGCCTGTTCGGCTGCTTTCTTGTCATTTCTTCAGGACTATCTCACCAGGCTTCGGAGCTCTTTTGATATTGTCTGCCGTTTGTTTCCTTCTCAGTGAAGATGGTGCATCAAACTCTGACTGTATTCATATTTCCAGCATTTTGTTTCCAAACAATGCAGACCATGACAGAGCCATGCTTTACAGATGGCTGTAGACACCCAGTGTTGCACCTTTTTCCTGAGATCCTCCGTACAGAAGAGTTTCACATTTGGATTCATTACAATAGTAAACCTGTTACCACTGATATTTAGTTCAGTTCTTGTGTGACTCTTCAGATCTTCAGTAAGCCTGGATAAGTTATTTGCTCTAGTTCCTTGGAAGCAAAATATGATGCAATTAAGAGGGGTTCAAAACTTTTGCACAGTACTGTACACTGCTCTTTCTGCTAGCTTGTCCCCATCTATTTTTTACATTGTTTTAAATATTAGCTAATGTATTTATAGCTAATAGCATCTCCTCCACTCTTGCTCTTTGCTACCCACGTATTGGCTTGAGTTTGGATCTGTGATTATTATTTACTTCATTTAGTCTCCAATTTAATACTCCTTGCCATCTTCCATATTTTCCATGGATATGAAATCAGAAACAAAATGAATAATTTTTGAAGAAAAAAAACTTATCAAACCTGCTGTCTTCCATTGCTTTTCCAGTCCTTTGTGATCTATACTTTCCATAGCATTATTTGTAGCCTTTGCTGTTTCTGAAACATATATGAAGTATTTTATTGAAAAAAACAATCTGATCATTGTAATTAAACAAAACAAGGTAATATATTTGAAGCTTGTTGAAACTGCAAAGCTGCAAGCTTAGACTATTAGCTGACGTAAATAAAGATATAGGCATGTTTCTAAAATCACTGGACTGGCTTTTTTATTCAATATTTTTCTCCAAACATTACACAGAATCTTTAAATGATACAGTTATATACATACACATCAGTGTATTTCTTTATCTAAAAAGTTGAGGGCCACTGGACAATGCAGCTGTGCGTTTCAAGACAGGATTGCATTTCTGATGTTTGTGTACTGAAGAAATTCACATACGGGGTTAATAAGTCACTGGTAATTGAACATGTATTGGAGACTAGAGTGCCAACAGTGTTTGCTTTACAAGCTAGTTTGGAGAGAGTGGACTGTGCGGGAACCGCTGGGTCAGTGGCACAATGACGACCGAGGAGATGAACACATGGAGAGCAGCAGTATCTTCCTTACTGGGAAGCAGTGCACGTGACCGAACCAGCTAAATACACCACTAATGGCAAACAGCACCTTTCAGTGTGTACCCAGAGACTCAATATCTGTTTTTTAGACTGGAATCATACATGTAATAAGATTTTGGATTTGTGAGAAATAAACCGACATACTGCAGAGTGGTTTGAGAAACACTGATAGACATGCTGCTTTTCAACCAGTTTCCAAAGCTCTAATCTCTGTGTATGCAGGCCAACAGTATACAATGCTAGGTTTCAGAGTCACAAGATGCACCTTGCAAAAACTGAACAATCATTTTCATTACAGATCTTTGGTAAATACCAGCTATATGATGCCGTCTGAGGAGCTCACATATTTAGAAACAAAGCAGCTTGAAGGAAACTCGTCAGAAAATGTTGTGGTTGTTTTTGTACCCACTGATGGAACACAAAAGCAGGCAAAGGGACAACGGAAATTGTAATTTTTCAGTTTTAGCCGGTAATGTGAAGGAGTATATCCAGGCCTGGACTGGGCTGGTCTAAGTGATCTCTTCCCATCCGAACTAAACCACACACTTTATGCGTACAACTAGCTGAAGTTTTTTAGGGAGAGGGATCCCTTAGGCTAAGCATGAACAACAGCATGTCCGAGCGCTGGAAGGAACGAGGTGGCTGGGATGGTTCGGATCCGATGAGAGGTCATCAGTGTCACAGACAGATTAGATGGGTCTCTACATCATCCCCAACTGCATTAGCGTGTTGGCATATGCCATGGGCTTGACATTCGGATGAGGCTGTAAAAGGAGATGAGAATTAGATTCCAATTTAAGAAGATTTTTAAAACTCTTAAGACACTACTAGCTAAACTTTTAGCAGTTAATAGTAGTTTAATGTTTTCGGCTTTATTCCACTTGGTTAGGATAATATATGACTCCACTGCTCATCTCAGGGTGTTATGATTTCTAATGCATCATTTTCACAAATTGTCAGATTACTTATAAATTAGGAATAGGGAAAAAAATGGCCTAAACATGAGGGAGAAGTTCATCTCAGTAGTCCAGCAGATGTCACTGTAACACTGTGCATTAAGCTAACCACATATTCAAAATTTGTATAGTGATGATCTTCATTAAAATATCCACTTAAGTGATATAATATCAATGTTGTTTCTAGGTTTCTTATCTTTAAAATTTTTGTTAATGAGAATGAAGTACTTTTAAGTTTTTGTTACACTTCAACCACTTTTCCATTAGCGCAATTCAATCCCTGTTTCATGTAGAAACATCTGAGATATCGCTTCTTTTAATTAAGGACCTGAAAGTGATGTACCTTACTGACTAAACCTCAACATGCACTTTATGTATTACGGGTAAATTTTTAATCTTTTAGGAGACACTGCCTGCACTGTTTTATTTATTAAATAACTATTTATTTCTATATCATCATCATTATTATTATTATATTATATTGATTTTATTAAACTCAAGATAACAGGACACTAACCACAGCTGTGAACTGGTGAAATTCTGGTTTGAGGTCTGATCCCCTGAGGTGGATATATGCTCCTTTGTTTCCCATCTGATCACTGAGGGAAAAAAAAGGAGAATACAACAGTTAAAATGTGCCACTTTTTTAACAGTCAACACTTAAGTTAGGTAACTTGATTACTTACCAGTAGTTGGGTGCTGAGAACACGGTGATGCACTTCCCTGAGTGAGTGACCTCGTACCCCTCAGCTTTGACCTCATGACTACGCACAATGAAATCCAGCTTGTTCTGCTCCAGGAAGCGCTCCGTCACATCGGGCCCAAACTGGCAACTCACCCCTCGCTTACTGATCGACCGGCCATTCTGTGTAAGAGGGAGAGAGAGACACAAACTATAAAGCAGGTACTGCCACAAATTGCATCCAGATCTGTAGGAAGCACTGAATTATGCTTCAGTATAAACCTGTGGGTGAGAACTCACCTGTGGCTGTGGATCTGACCAGAGGAGGTCACACATAGGACCTGTGAACGCATGGGGAAAAGTGTTAAATTATACTTGTCATCCCTTTTAAAGGTTATTTCTTATAGCAATTTAAACTGATAATGACTTAAGAGTCTAGCCCCACCTGAGTCTGGAGGCTGTCTATTCCTGTCAATCTTCCTTAAGTCTTCCAATGTGACACCATCTTCACTGAACAGCCCACCGTGCATAACCTGACATGGAGAATTTAATTAGAACTGTGAGTACAGCAATAAAAACACATGAAACATTGTGCAAGAAAAGTGATGAATACAAAAAAATAGTAATCAGTAAGTTATCTTAACAACACATACTATTTCAGAAGCATAACTGAGGTGACAGAAATTACATACATTAGCATACTCCTATATACTTTATATCTCATCATTTTGAATTAACTTCCACTTAAATGACAACCATAAGAATTAAATCCATACATATTCACACCTTAAGCACAAATAAATTACTCGCCAGTGTCACCTTTTAGTTCACATTCTCAAAGCTTACCAGTACTTTATTGTTGATACACTGTGCAAGAGGAAGCCACTGGAAGACCTCGCTGAAAAGCTGAAACATCTGGGCTGTGTACTTGGCTTTGACCTCCCCTTCAAATCCATACATCTGGTTCATGTTGTCCGTCTCATGGTTACCTGCAGATTTAAAAGTGGTTACTGCGGATTACACAGGACACTTAAATATTTTAATCAGTCATTACTATGGAGGATCAATTATCCAGCAAATGACTTCTGGGTATCGCTCTTTAGAAGAGTTGTTTGCGATTACCTTCTGCAGAATTTAAACTTTCACCACTAGGTGACAGCATTTCATCCCCTATTTAACAACTTCTGCCATTCACCACATTGCTGCTATGAACTAGAATTTACTCCCAGTTTCTTGTGTGGTTAAATAAATGTTGCACTGACATGTTGCACCATCTAATGGTACAAATTTGTGTGGTTAGTGGTCTGTATTCCATTAAAGTAAAACATGAACCTTTCTTGTTTAGTTGACTATTCTTCAAAACAATATTTTTACAATACATAGACTATTTGAACATAATGCCATAGCAGTTGTTGTTTGATATTCTATCAATATGTTCAGTTAATCATGAAAGGTGTTAAATTACTGATAAATTATAGGACTTTGCAGTAGATGCCTTTAAACCCAATGCCAACAGAGATATGTAGTTATCATGATGTACAATATCGCACGTTACAGCAGCCTGAGATCCATGCACAACACTCTTGAGCGCTCTCACCTCTAAGCAAGTGGAAGTTGTTGGGGTAGAGCAGCTTGAAGCCAAAAAGGGTAAGAATGACCTCAACAGAGAAAGAGCCACGATCCACAAAGTCACCATTGAACAGCTGAATGCTGTGGTTAAGCATTATGACGCACAAGTTCTGGACAAGTTTGTGGCATCTGACTGTTACAATTTTAGACACAGAAAAGTACTCCAGTGAACACAAATTTAAAACCAATGTGTGTGAGCGTCAGCAAAAACAAAGGAT